AAGCATATGTATCAAAAACATAACTAATGTGCAAAAATAAGGAATAGTTGTATTAACTATACAAGTAAACAGAGTTTTATGGGGCCCCTAGAATCTTGGAGCCCTGGCCAACTGCCTAGTATTGCCCGATTACAGGTAATACACTGTAGACCAAGTTATTTTTAAGTAAGATAATGGAAACATTCTTTTTCTTATGGATTAATTAGCATTACCCTTTTTTTTTTTTTTATCATGCACGAGTTGATATTCTAATAACATAATTCCTACTTTGTTAGTATGTTAGCAGTAACATCTAATGCATGTTATAGTTTCCTGTAATGTTTTTTTTATTATTATTATTATTTTGGGAGGAAAACCTGTTACCAAGACTAACTTAAAAGTTCAGCAGATGAACAAAATAATAGGCTGTGGAAACCTTACTTTACTCATAAAAAAAAATCAAGTTACATTTAAAAATCAGTATTAAAATAATAAAATAAATGCATAAACATTTTGTTTTCCAGATCTCCTTAATTTAAACTAAACTGCAATCGACCTGCATAGTACTTTGCAGACTTTAGAACATTCTAGTGTTTACAACAAAGAAGAGGAAAACAGAAAGAGTCCAAATTACTTGAAGGCATGTTCAGACATGACCGTTAATTTTCCTCTATAAACCTAAACCTCTGAATTTTGAAGATTAGAGGTAATATCTAGCAGGATGTCTTTGCACCTTTAACATATTCAGACACTGAATGAAATATGAAGCTGCAGATCAACATCTTCACAGAAATATGTAGAAACACTCACTGGTTTATTCAGATAATACAAACAAGAAGCTTTCTCTTTGCTTTTGACACATCTAATAAATCGATAGAACATGTACAGTAGGATAGAAACGGCAATAAAAACAAAACGAGGCAGTGTTCTTTGAAAATTATCCCTCGTTTAGGTGCAGTAAGGAGATTTTTCCTCGGTATTTCTCAACCACAGCAGTAAACGTTTGGTCCTTCTCCAAAATGGCTCTCCGTTGCCTTTAACTGCTCATTAAAAAAGGCTTAAATGCTTGTTGAATCCAAGTGGGTCCTGCTGTTTATCGTTACAAGCTAACGGTAGCTAAACCTGCGCTGCTTTGAGAAAAGTTGGGGGCGAAACTTGTTTTATTTTTTTTATGCGTTGTTCCCCAAAACGTAAAGGCTTGTTTAAACGGTAAAAAACACAAACAGCCTCCGAGCATTACGTTAGGAATTCCGCTCACCTTATGCTGTGATAACTCATGTTTGTCCACGGTTGCTAAGGGAAGACCATCAGTGGGGACTGCACTTTTTCCTTGGACGCTGTTGTCGCGAGCGCTGTTACTCTGTGCTTAGTTACCAGCTTCTTCAAGAACAAGCCTTCCTATTGGTCCGCGGTTTCTTTAGCTGGGATCTCATTGGTCGACGTCCTGAGGAGGGGCGGACCCTTACGCCTGCTTTCTTATTTGGATTTTATTATGAAATATTCGGCAGACACATGTCAAAGGTGAGTCACGAATACAAAAAAAGGAGACGCTGCCTAATAGGAAGTGATTATTTTAGCAAGAGTTGGGTTTTTGAATGGACCATTACAGTTTTAAAACAATACTTTGTCTCCAAAATGTTTGCAAGTGAATATTCAGACATTTATTTGATCTAAAATATCCAAATAAGGACTGATGACGATATAAAATAATTGAAATTACTAAAGTATTATAAGTATCAGTAAAAAAAATCAGGAATATATCTCATTAGATTGTGTATACTAATGATGCATTTTGGAAGAATAACAAAATAGTGCATCTATTGACGATTACAATACATTTTGAATGCTTATTTATTTTAATATACATATAAAATACTTTCATATCAACGTTTTTACAACCATTTATATACATAGGCCTTCTATTTGAAAAAAAATAATTTTTTTTTAAAAGCATGCTAGAACTGAAAAAAGGATAATTAAAATGTAAAATCCTCTGTTTTTTACTACTTGTTTTCTTTCATTTAGTGTCTGTTTTTATTAATTTATTTTATTTATCTCACATTGCAGAAAATTTGTCTCTGCATTTAACCCATCCCTATGGGGAGCAGAGGGCTGCCATGGTGGGGCACCTGGGGAGCAGTGTGGGGTGTTGCACAGGCACCCAGAGTGGCAGTCTGTGGGAGTGGGGCTTGAACGCAGAACCTAAGGATTCCAAACTCTATGCTCTAACCACTACACCGCCACAAGTCATATAAAATGTACCAAATGCAAAGTGTTTGTCATGAAAAAATCTATTTTATGAGATTTTAGTTGGCATAACAGTCTAATGACATAAAAAAGTAGTAGTTACAAAACCAACTGGAACAGTACAATGCCATTTCAATATTTTAGCTGTTAAAATACAGTATGTTTTATTTATTTTATTTTTTTAAAGTGATAGGAGCCAGTAATCTATAAAAAGCTAATCCATTATAGCAGCTCGAGAGCAGTGATTCCCAACCTGGGGTACTCATAAACCTAGTTGTCCGCGAGTGCATTGCAAGTGACACATGAAAATATACTATTTTTCAGCTAATAAAATAAAATAGGGCTGGGATCTGTTTTGCTTCATCAGAACCCACCTGAAAAATAAAACAAGCATTTTTCAACCAAAAAGTAAGTTATCCCCATATGTTTGATTTCCCCTTCAACTTTCACACACGTCCAAACCAAGCACAGAAACAGCCTGGTTAAAAGCCGTTTTCTTCACACTGAGCTATTGGAGCCCATCAAAGCAGCTCAGGTGTCAAGATGAAAACAATGTAAAATAAATGGAGCCAGTCTGACTAATAATTTTTCAGTATTTTATTTCAAATTCCTCATGTTTAAATGTGATTATAAAGGAGTTACTCAAAGGAGCTAGTTTCCTAGAGGCAGATATATGGTATGATTTTATTTTGTATTTATTTTTGATTCCATACTAGCTTCCAAGAAAATATTTGTTGTTTTTTATATGAGTTGGAAAGAATAAAATTCCAAAGAATGAAAGTTAAAAAGATGAAATGATATGACTCTTTACTTTATAATAAGTTATTATGCAGTTTTGTACATTCCACTTTTGGACAGTCATCAAAACTTTTGACTGAGATGGTTACTCATGATAAGACAAAATGCCAAAAGGGGCTCACAAGTCAAAAAAGGTTGGGAAACACTGCTCTGGAGAACAAAGTTCTTTTTAATTGGAGTAACAAAAAATATTTGCAACAAGAAAAAAGTAAAACAAACCAAAAAATATACATATTAACAATGAATTAGTGCATCTGATTCAGAAAGATAACCCCTTTCTTTTAACTTCAACATCAAACCCTTTCTTCTCCTCCACGTCACCTTCACCCCATAATCCCTCTCAGGTGTATCAGCCACCAAGCAGTCAGGTGGGCTGCTGCATGGTGTCGTGCATGGTAGAGCAAACATTATATGCCCAGGGGAAGAGGAGGAATAATGTTCCCCTTTTGAAGGAACTTCTGGAGTGTCCAAATCAGGAGGTGGGCAATCACTGTTCATCTCTGTGGATATAAACTTGGAGGAGGCAGGTGTTGTGGCTCCCTCTGCTGGAATTATGCATCCTCGTTCCGAACTTCTAATCTGAGAAGCAGCACCCTCAGAAAGTTTTTTTGCATTCCTTTTTTTGACAAATTGCTTTCTTGGGATGTCTGAGTAACCTCCGTTCAATACGCTCCTTCTGCTGCGGCAAACGGACTGAGGAGCTTGATTCTTCACTTTTGAAACTCCACCTTTGTTTGTTGTTCTGGCTCGTGGTTGTTGTTGAAGCTGGTCCTTCGACCGGACGCTAAATGACAGTGAGGGATATTTGGATGTGCTATTGTTTCTGGAAAGCTGACTGCATTGATCATGTAGGTTTGTGGTAGTCTGCCATTGTCTCCTCCCTCGTCTTCTTGGAGGCACAGCTGCAGCTGAGCTGGTAAACTGTGGGTCTACCTAAAATATTAAAAGCACTGTGAGCCAAATGAATGACAAAACTAGAGCTTTAGTAACTATGCAACTACAGGATCACCAGGGTTCCTGCAAACACTTTGCCCAGATTCTGTACCATTATAGATGCTGCCAAAGAACCCTTTTTGCTATAAGGTTATAGACGATATCTCGATGTTTGTAAATATATATGTACCCGGTATGTATGTATGTATATGTATGAAAAAAATCAGACATATTAGGGCAGAGGTCTGCAACCTTTTATGCTTTAGAAACTCAACACTGGCCCTAAATTAGTGTAGCTAGAATGATAACGACTCTGCTAAATTTCCAGCTTTAAAAAAAAAATTTTTATCGTCATTACACTGTCACAAGTACGGAGCAACAAAATTAACTGTTTTAAAATGTATTTTTAATCCAAATTAGTAATTATTTGATAATAATTTAACTTTATTAATCTCACATTGGAGAAAATTTGTCTCTGCATTTAACCCATCCCTATGGGGAACAGTGGGCTGCCATTGTGTGTCGCCCAGGGAGCAGTGTGGGGTTAAGGGTCTTGCTCAGGGACCCAGAGTGGCAGTCCGTGGGAGTGGGGCTCGAACTCACAACCTCAGGATTCCAAGCTTTATGCCCTAACCACTAGGGCATAGATATATTAAAAATAAATGTCTTAGCATTTTCTCCATTGACTATTGCATTGAATGTCCAAAATGTATTGACTTGAAACATAATAGAAATAGATTTAGGTTTGAAAAGTGTTGCTTTTTGAACATAATTTTCCACAAATTACAGAAAATTGTTTTCCTTAATCTTAAAGCCTAAAATCTGAAATGACGCAGTGGTTGTTTAAAAATGGCAAATCTCCTTTGGTAGATATTTAATAAATATGAGTTATCTTCTTTTTTTTTAAGTTTATGTGATGTTTGTGGCTCAAAACAAGTTTTTTTAGCCGGACTTAAGTCAAAAATGTCTATTTGGATTTTTCTGGTTGCAGACCCCTGAAGTAGGGAAAAGAACATCATTAAAATGTATGTTTTTTTTCTAAACTGATTTTTGATTGTTCAATGTCATTTTGTTTTCAGAATTTCATCAGCAGTATATTTTCATGTAACCTGCTTTGCGTAAAAACTGCTGCTGCATTACTGCTGGGTGCCCATAACAGACCGATAAGTAGATGTTTAGATTGGTGACCTGCTGATGTAGGCATTGAGTTCTGGAAATAGAATAAAATCTAACTGCAAAAAAAAAAAAAAATCAATACTTGTCCAGGCCTGGGGTATACCTCCACAGCAGTACATATAGGCAAAACATTTTGACCTAGAGCACAGATTTATTAAAGTACACCTGCTAACTCTAAACTCTAAGATCATCCAACTTTTTACAGAGTTCTATTTAATTTAAAGGAAAAGTCCGGTCAGCAAGGAATAATCAATGGATCATTATCTATATCTAAAACTAATAAGTTTGCTTTGATTTAATGAATTTAGTAAAAAAAAAAAAAAAAAAGTCATTTTTGACGCGATCACTGAGTCTAGCAGCGGCGATTTTTGTCAAAATATAGCAACACCTCACTCCTGACTTCTTCCGGCAGTGACGTCACAGTGTGGTAAGCCTAGCGCCATTCTCCCCACTGTACAAGCAAAATCAATGGGAACTACTAGACACATCTGCAATCAACAACAAATATTGAAGATTTCCAGAGGACTTCACCACTGAAATTCACCAGAGCTATAGTGAAACTGACAATGCCCACGTGCATGGCAGCTGGATGTCTGAATACATCGGGAAAAGGTGAAAAAAAAAAAAAATTATTTCCGTTTTCTGATTCCTGATCCTCCACGGACGGGTTTGTCGTTGGATCGCCAACTTGAAGAGGGAGGATTTGCCATCGAACTTCTGGCCAGAGAAAAAACACGTAATATGTAGCCAACATATTGTTGCACAGATACCGATACCAGTATCGGGTGGGGCCCCGATCCAGCACAAAAATGTTGGTATCAGTATCGGCGAGTACTCCCAAATAGAGCACCGATACCATTTTGTGAGCCAAAACTTTATTGAACTATTGTCACCCATTCAAGGTAGGCAATAAAAAGTTCTACTGGATTCACTTTGTATTAGTCTTTTTCCTGCTTCACAAAGGTAGGCAGCAGCTTGACAAAGCCATGATGGCAATTATTTTACATCCAAGTAATATGCAGTTCTTCATATATACACACCCCACATCAATTTCAAAAAGATGATATCGGTATCAGGGCCAAAAAATGGCATCGGTGCAACACTAGTAGTGACAAACACTAGATACAGCACTGGGACTTGATCAACAGCCGATACCGTACCGTGACATCACAAAGCGGTAGGTGGCAGTAGTGTTCTTTGACAAACATGGATGCCTTCAGTAAAGATCATTCAAATGAAAATCACTCTTAATTAAAAAAAACGTATTATTTATTGAACAGTATGTAATAATTTCATATTTTAAGTACTTTCAGAAGTTTGAATTCTGAATATGACCAGACTTTTCCTTTAATGCTTGTGATTTTACTATAGAGGGCTGCAAACTGAGAGATGAATAAAGAATAGTGTATTAGAATTTGGTATTCATGTGTTTTTCTTTCTCACCACAAACTTTTAAAGAGTTTTAGCATAAACTTGAAGAACTTACCCATGAACAGATTTCTGAAAAGTCGCGTGTTTGTGTCTCTGAGAAGAAATCCTTGGGATTGACTGCAGCTCGGACTTCAGGCACATTTTGAAGTCTGCTGCCACCCACAGGCCGCTCGAGGAATTGCAATGCAGGTTTGTCTGCCTTCGTGGCTTTTCGGGGCATTAATGAAAGTCATTCCAGAACATCTATAGGTAGATAAGTCACCGAAAGTTAGTCAATTAAAGATACATTAAAAAAGAAAAGAAAAACATAGACAAATGTCAATAAAAGTATACGATGTTTTCATTTAGAGCGCAAAGTACGCTGCTAAACCGTGTAGTTGGTATTTCATCTAAGAAATCATTTACATTATCTAAATATACAACAAAACATTTATAAAATGCATGTTGCCTACTTTCAATTCTTTGTTTCCTTGTTATGGGTTGTTGTATTTCCCGGTTTTCTTCTTTTTCTTCGTTGGCTTCGAATAGCGTGTCCATCGTTACCTGCAGTGCATTACTGCCATCTAGCGACGGGTTATCCTGTCCTCTTATTGGTCAATTCTGTCACATGGTTAGAGTGACGGAAGAAGACAGCGCCCACAGCGCCAAAATTCAAAACGTCTTTGAACGGAGTAGACAATATGTAAATAACACTTTATGACAGGGTTTTCTAAACTGTTATAGATAAATAATAATTACAATAGTGAAAAAATAATGAAGGAAATGTTTGAAGTTTGACTCGGGGACCAGCCAAATGAAGTCGCCTGAAACTTTGCAGTAGTATGAAGGTTTGTTTCGTTTCAATGCTACACTGACAGATGCTAATCAGTGCTCCGATTTTTTTTAAGAAATCCTCCCGAATATTTAATTGTGCGCATTAACAATTTATCCAGTTATTAGCTTTATCGTGTTCAAATCCAACGTTATAAAAATGTCAAACGGCTGTTCTAGAAGGCGACGGTCGCTTAGCAAACAATGAGAAATGCAGCTGCATTAACCGACGATTGAGACGATATAGCGACGAAGGAAGGGTACGTCTAATGTGAATGTTTATTTCGTTTGATTATTGTAACACGTAGCGTTGGTTATTAAGAGGTTATAACACGAGTTAAATGAATGGAGATCGGCTTTTAGCTAGCCTGTGCTAACACGGCTAAACTCGACGGTAATTTAGTTATTTTTTTGTTGTTTTTTGGTGGTTTAAATAGACGTTGATCAACAGCTGATTCTAGGAGGGATATACAAATAATGATATATAGGCGCTATAAAATGTACCCTAACCCTATTTTTCATAAATATGTGTTTCTTTATATATATACATATATATATATATGTATATGTAAATATATATGTGTGTGTGTGTGTGTATATATATATATATATATATATATATATGTGTGTGTGTGTGTGTGTATATATATATATATATATATATATATATGTGTGTGTGTGTGTGTATATATATATATATTTATGTGTGTGTGTGTGTGTATATATATATATATATATATATATAAGGTGTACCCCACCTCTNACGATATATATCACGATATACCACAACTGATGTTGCATTTTATGTTTTCATAGTCCGTCAGATGGACAGGGTTGAAAAAAATCTTTCATCGCCTATTTTTTACCCATCATCATCTGGGTGACGTAAAGCGGTGTAGTGTCGCAAAACCACGTTCTCTACACATTATCTTTTTATTCTCTTCTTTTTTCGTTATATATACTTAGAGTTTGCATAGCAAAAACGCAAAATGTTATATTAACAAATTATATTAAAATGTATATTAGCAGTAATAATAATAATAAAAAAGTTTATCACGATAGAAAAAATAGAGGAGAAAGGTCACGATAGACATGTTTCTCTCGTCCTCACGATATATATCGCCATATCGCCCAGCTCTATGTGTGTGTATATATATGTATGTGTGTGTATGTATAAATAAGTAAAATAAATCTGTTGTCTTTCACAGCAATCCAGTGAAGGGCAATTTTAGTGAGCCGACCATGAGACGGAGCCCAAGGAGACCCCTGATCCTAAAAAGAAGAAAATTACCGTTCCACCAAAATGATCCAACTCCAGCTGACAAACCCGTTCAGACCTTGGCACCAGGCGCTAGGGAGGCGCCTAAATCAGCCGCCGGCCAGTGCTTTCCTCATGGTATTCCCATCATGGATCACCCATTAATGTCTAACACGCAGGTGGTTGTCATCCCCAAAGAGGCTGATCTAAAAAGCATCATCGGTGCCCTGACTGCAAAGGGAAAAGAGAGTGGTGTCCAAGGCCCAAATAAGTTCATCCTTCTCAGTGAGGCTGGCAGCGGGGACCACGGATCTTTCCACCAGGCCGTTAAACAGGAGCAGCCGTCTACTTCTAAAAGAAAAATTAAACAGGAGAAAATAGAGCTTACCCACAATTTACCTCTCACTGGAATTCAGTCACGTATGATTAATCCTGTATTACCCTTAACAATAATCTTAATCTATAATCTAATTAAGTTATTGATCAAAAAAAATATTGTTTCTTTTTTTTTTTTGTCTTTAACAATGAATTTAGATGGAAGTAGCAGTCCTCTAGATGACAGCCTCACCAATATCCAGTGGTTGGGAAAAATGAACACAAGTTCCTTGGAGCCTCATCTTGCAAATGACAGTGCTGAAAAGGAGAGCATTGATCAAAAACCCCAGGAACTACCGGTGAGTTTCTAATTCATATCATATCAAGTTTCTGTTTCAAACTTGAGTGTATCTTTTGATATATTGAGTATCATAATGTAGGTATCAGAAGCGGGGTTTACAGTTAACTGATATGAGTAACGTGTAAAGGCGCAATAAAGGCATGTAGACTTTTAAAAAATGTTCTGCAGACTTACACAGCCTTCCCAAAACAAAACAAAAAAAGGTTTTTCCTTCTTTTAAGCATTGCTAAATAGAAATGTACACCTACATAAATAAAATATTGCATCAAAAAACATTTGGAGCTTGTGACCCCTTATTAATTCAAAAGGCAACATTGAATAAGAGTAATGTGGCCTTCTGCTTTTCATTTACTTTAAACAGTCTGGTTTATTGTTTCGCATTTCTTTGGGTTCATATTGATTTTAAACATTAGCTACTGCAGTACATTTAATTACTTAATTGTTATCACTTCTGTGGGGGGGGGCAAATGTGAATGTTTAAGTCTGGAGCTATTGTATGACTTTTAACAATCAGGACCCCTAAATGTTACTCCAGTGATCCTATCTCATAAGTTATTTATGTGTCATTCAAGATGTAAACAAAAAACAAACATTTGAAATTATGTTCTTAACCAAATATTTCATGTCCTTTTTCAGGCCCACAGCACAAAATCAAACACAGAAAACACTCGGCCGGCGTTAGAGAGGCCGCCGTACTCCTACACAGCCATGATCCAGTTTGCAATCAACAGCAGGCAGAACAGAGGGATGACTCTAAAGGAAATTTACACATGGATCGAGGACCATTTCCCTTATTACAGAGAAGTGGCCAAGCCTGGATGGAAGGTGGTTCAGGGAGAAGCTGTGTTGACAATAGAGTGGATCTCAAGGCGGCGCTCTGAGGGATTTCATTGGCTTTCTTCCTTTTCAGAACTCCATAAGGCACAACCTTTCTCTGCACGACATGTTTATCCGCGAGCGGTCGCCAGACGGGAAAACCTCTTACTGGACCATTCGGCCTGATTTTAATCGATGCCTGACTCTTGATCAGGTTTACAGAGTGAGTATAACTAACAAGAATACAAATCTATAGAATTTTGGATTTTTTTGAAGAAGAAAAAATGTTTCTTTACTATCTTCCCTCACATTTTTCTCCCCCATCTCCATTTTTATTTTATTTTTTTTACAATGTAACTACTGTGTTATTTGTTGAGTTTTTGCTCTTTCTGTAGCCTTGTTGCAATCCAGGGACCGTTCATTCTCCCGGGCCTAAGCGTTCATGTACCCACCAAGTAAGACTGATTCACCTTTTTCGGTTTTTGAGGAACTGTTTTCACGTCACAGCTAGGCGGTAGAGAGCTAAGCAGAACGTTAAAAGTCAACGGTTTAATGTGTTCTAAGAGCTGATTAATAACTTATGCTTTTGGATTCTAGGTTTAGCAGCAGCTGGATGTTGAAATAATGATAATAATAATAGTAGTTGAACATCATTGATCTCACAATTGAGAAATTCCCTTCTGCATTTTGACACACCCCCTTGGGGAGCAGTGTGCTGCCATTGGGGAGCAATCAGGGGTTAAAGGTCATGTTCAGGGACCCAGAGTGCAGGCTGTGGGGATCGAACCGGGTACTTGCAACCCTCTCAGAGCACAAGCGCCCTGCTCTAACCGAATAAGCCAACACTCCCTGATTGTCTGGGGAACAAACACTTTGAAACTACTTTGCCTTGACAGCCTTAAGCTGCAAGTTTTTGTGCTAATATAACACGCCTCTAAAGTAGTGTCTGATAATAGAATAGCACGGTTTCATTTTCAGCGTTTTAATTTTCAACTGGCTCTCTGAAAAGTGTGGCATGCATTTGTTCTCCCTTATTAAAATCCTCCTTTCTCCTCACATTCCCTATCAGATTGAAGTCTACTCTGGCTGTGCCCCAGGTGGTTAAATAAAAAATAAATGCCACACTTTCCAGTCTTTCAAATTACCTCTCCTCTTTCATTTTACAATTTCTGCTCTATCTTGTGTTGATCCATCATATAAAACGTAATAATGATGCAGTGTCGTTTTTGACAGCCGTCTTAGATTTAGTCTTAGTTATTGTCTTCAGAACGAAAACTCATTAGTTTAAGTCACATTTTAGTCATTACTATATGTGATAGTTTTAGTCAGTTTCAGTTGACTTAAACTCAAATAGAATTCAAATAATCTTTTTTTTATGAATTCATGCCCTACTTTATAAAAAAAGTGTCTCAAAAGTTGTGAAAATAGCAGATCTAGTTCAGCACATTATATTGGTTAAAATATCAGACAAGTTAACAAAATGTACAATAAAGGAAAGGTTTTAGACATACAAGGTTTCTATCCAAAAGCAAATACTTACTGATCTACAATGAATTATGAATTACACACAGATCAGTAACATCTTCATTACTCCAAAAACACGAAGAAAAAAAACATTCATCTTTCTACTTTCTACGCTGCTCAGGGGTCAAAGTAGATTTAAATTAGAAGGGATAAAGAAATAAAATAAAGAGAGAGCCTACAAAATTGCCTTATAATGCCATGGCAATCTGGACCTAAATTTCACCAATATTTTAACAAAAATGTTGAAATATTCTAATTGGAACAAGAGCAGCTTAATCCACCTTTGGTCATGCAGAATGCACCTCTGCACGCCAGGTGGGCGTGACCAAACAGGATGCAGCACCAGAGCTGATACTGCTTAGCAGATTACAGCACCATGATGCATTTTAAACGTCCGACAGATCACCACCAAGGTTTTTATTTAGTCTCATCCCGACCATAAAAACTCACAACCCTGAGTCGTGAAGTCAGAGGTTCATGTTTAGCTTGTCAAAGAAATAATTTCATCATCATCGTTGACAGAAACATTCAGTTTTGCTTCGGCAATAATCAGTCGTTTTGCTTTCACAGTCAAAGAAAAAGTACATCGCCGCTGGCACACCCACTTCCTCTGGTGAGTTGCGCAATAAACAGGATTTTATTATTTTTTTTAGAGTACTGATGTTCTCAGTTTTAATCCAATGGTTTTGTTTTTGTTGTTGTCAGAGAGGAAGATGAAACCGCTTCTCCCCCGTACCGATGCTTACTTGGTTCCCATCCAGCTCCCCATCACTCCCTCTGCCTGTCTGCCAGCCTCGTCTGGTTCTTTTGGCTCCACTGGCTTAAAGCACAAACAAAATGCTTCACGGGGGACAAAGAGAGTTCGCATAGCACCAAAGGTACAGCCTTAGGCAGGTGAAACTACTGAAAAACTGGTTACAGTCATGCTGTACAGTTCAGTTCTGAGTATCATTCTATCCTCCTTCCTTTTCATCTGCTTTCTGTTCTGTCCTTGTCCCACCTTTGTGTTTTTTCTTTTCAACTGTTTGCATTTTTATTCCTTCTACTTTTGTTTTCAGATTTTTTCCTGTCCTTTCTTTTGTCTAGATGTCTTTACCTGTCTTATTTCACCCATCGTTTTTCCATCTGTCATTCTTTTTTATGCCCTTTCTCACCTCTCTGGTTTTTGCTGTTCCATGGTCTGCATAACTAAAATATCTACCACACTGCAAAAACATTCTACAAATGAGTAAAAATGTCTTAAAATA